AAATTTGAAAACTTTGATAGATGGATAAATTCCTTGGAAAATATAGTTTATCAAAATTGACCTATTAGAGGTAGATTAATCCGTTCTTTAGAAGAAAAACAGCAAGTTATTAAGGAACTACCCCATAAAAAATCACCAGACCTAGATACCTTCACAGGGGAGGTCCACCAAATCTTCAAAGGTTAAATAGCTTTAAAGCTCCATAAACTATTCAAGAGTATGGAAAATCAAGGAACACTTTCCTATTCTTTTTATGAAGCAAGTATAATATTGGTATCTATACCTGATGAAGACAGAAAAAAATCACAAACCAAATCACTTACAAATAGTGTAAAACTATCAAATATTTTAGTAAATAAAGCCTAATGCCATATTATAAAAATAATATACCATTACCAAATGAGATTAAAGGAATTCAAGATCAGCTCAATACTGGGAAATCCATAAATGTAATCTACCATACTAATAGATCTAAAGAGAAAAATCTGAAATCCAAAGGCTGAAGATGCCTTTGGCAGAATTCAGTCTCTTTCCTGGGAAAAAACGGAAAGTACAAGGAATGATATTATTTTTAAGAAACGTAGGAGGACTAAGATGGATGAATGTATGACTAAATAGATATTTTTAGTTTTAAATGCTTATTGGAAGAAACACAAGTCCATTATAAAATTAAAGACTATTATAAAAGACACTAGAGCAAGGTAGCATTTAATAAAATCAGTATGTAGAAATTAATAGCCTTGATGTAGGCTTCTAGCCAATAACTGGCTAGAAGATAAAATGGTAGAGAAAACCCTATTTATAATATTAGAACTAGACTATAAAATTACTTAGTAAACTTAACAAGAAATATGCAGACTTGTATGAGGAAACCTGTAAAACACTCCTGAAAGACATTATATTAGGCTTGAACAATGGAAAAGATATCCATTGTTCTTGCCTAGGACAACTCAATATTGTAAAGCTGTCAGTTCTGCCTAGGTTAATTTATATGTAAACACAATCACAATAAAAATACCTATGGGCTAAACAAGTCAAATCACAGTTCATATGAAAAACCAGGCCAACACAAAAAGAAAAGCTACATGCGCCTACAGCCCTACCACATATTAAGGTATACTTAATATCTTTTTAATTAAAACAGTATGGTATTAGTACATGAATAGTCAAACAGACCAGTAGAATGGAAAAGATAATCCAGTAAAGACTCAGATGCATATAGAAATACAGTGTATGATAAAGATACCGTATCAAGTCACTGGGGCTTTTAATAATGGGCTTTTTAATAAATGATGCAAGGATACCTGAAAAAAACATAAATTAGATCCATACTTCATTCTGTGCTCAAAAGTTCTAATACAATTGACAGAAGAAAACATAAGCTGGACATAGGTAAGGTTTTTTTTTTAACTACAAATAAAGATTCAGATACAATAAAAGATTGATGAATTTGACCACTTAAAAACAAGAAAAACCTTTTCCAAAAACTATTAGAAAAACACCATTAACAAGGTCAAAAGGTAAATGACAGAGAAAAAATTTGCAAGAAAAGGATTGATATTCCCAGTATATAAAGACTCTTAAAAAAATAGAATAGAGACCAGAAACCCAATGATAAAAAATGGACAGAGGATGGGAATACACAATTCGTATAAAAACTGCTGTTATATATACGAATTGATGCTCAACCTTTAGTCATTATTAAAGAAATGTAAATTAAAGCTACACTAAAATTCCAATTCTCACCTATCAATCAGATTAGGGGGAAATATGAAAAGACATTTTCTTGGTGAAGCTTAGGGAAAATATACACTCAAGCATTACTGGTGGAAATGCAAACTAGTACTGCCTTTTAGAGTGGAATTTGGCAATGTTTAGCTTTACCCAATATTCCACTTCTAGGAATTTACCCCAATAATATGAGGATACATGCGCAAAAAAGATATTCACTGCAGCATTGTTTATATTGGTGAAATACTGGAAACCATCTAAATGCCCAGATATAGGAGAGTGATTAAATAATTTAATTTTCTATCCACAGTGGAGTTCTCTGCAGCTGTAAAAGAAATAATAAAAAGGATATCTGTGAACTGAAATGGAACATGCAAAAGAGTATCTGTGATATGATGCCTTTTGTATATGAAAGAGGAGAAAATAGAAAAATACACTTCTGTGAAAGTAAACACAGAAGGGCTAAATCAGAACCTAGTGAGATTGGTAACCTGCAGAGGGAAGAGTGGAATGGATGAGTAATTTCTAATAGGGTAGAATAGATTTGGGGGTGTGACATTTCTGTCAGTGTACATTTTTGCATAATTTTGACTTTTAGAACTATGTTAATATTTTACATATTCTACAATATTTAAAATCAACAAGGAAAGATGAGAGAAAAGCAAAATGATACATAAACAGAAACTAAATGAACCTAACTATATTTCAAATGAATAAATTAACTCCAGTAAGGCAGGAAGAGAAGTCTTAATGCCAATAATTTTTTTTTTTTTTTTTTTTTTTGGAAACAGAGACTCACTTTGTCACCCTGGCTAGAGTACAGTGGTGTCATCATAGCTCACTGCAACATCAGACTCCTGGGCTTAAGCGATTCTCCTGCCCTAGTCCCCTTAGTAGCCGGGACTTACAGGCACATACCACCACACCCAGCTCATTTTTTTTCTGTTTTTTGTAGAAACAGGGTCTTGCTCTTACTCAGGCTGGTCTCAAACTCCTGGCCTCAAGCAGTCCTCCTGCACCTGACCTCCAGTAATTCTTGAATACAGGCTAAAGACAAAAAGATATGTAAACAAATATTGAACTCTAATTAGTTTGTTTTCAGAGTGATATGAGCTAGTAGTTCTGAAACTAATGTATATTCTAGGGTTGAACAAATAAACTAATACTTTGACAGTAGTAGGAGCCAGGTTTTTCATTGTTGAAAATGAACTCTGTGATATTGGATTAGAGATATTAAATAATTAGAGCTGTGCATTTAAACCCATGAATTTTAATATAGATGTGTTTATATACACACACATGTTTATTTGCTCCATCCACTAAGAATGCCTATAACAAGAATATTGACTGCCCAGATCTTGGCTTCTAAATATCATTCTTTATTAAAAATATACAGCACTCCTTGGAGAAATGGCTGATTCCAGAGCTAGAACTGGAAAAGTACCAGGTGAGCCTAGGACATTTTGCTGTACCGAAAAAATAAGAAAGTACTTAAAAGAAAGATGAAAATATGTCCAAAAAATGACACATGAGCCAACCTGTAGGGCCACGCACTGACCACATCTGGGATAACTTGAATATCAAAATAAATGATAATAACAGATGATAACACTAGGAATAAAATAAGAATGTAAGAGTCCATAGTGATATAAATAAACACAGATGGTCCTCAACTTAGGGTGGTTCAAGTTTACAATGGTGCAAAAGCAAAACACACTCAGTAGAAACTATACTTCGAGTACCCATACAACCATTCTTCTACTTTCAGTACAGTATTCAATAAATTACATAAAATATTCAATACTTAATTATAAAATAGGTTCTGTGTTAGATGATTTTGCCCACCTATAGGCTAATGTGAGTGTTCTGAGCACATTTAACGTAGGGTAGGCTAAGCTATGATGTTCAGTAGGTTAGGTGAATTAAATGCATTTTCAACTTAAAATATTTTCAACTTATTTTCAGTTTATGAGACATAACTCCATCATAAGTCAAGGAACATCTGTACATGAATAAATAAATGGATATAGGCCGGGCATAGTGGCTCACACCTGTAATCCTAGCTCTCTGGGAGACTGAGGCGGGAGGGGATCGCTCAAGGTCAGGAGTTCGAAATCATCCTGAGCAAGAGCGAGACCCCATCTCTACTCAAAAACAATAGAAAGAATTAATTGGCCAACTAAAAATATATAGAAAATATTAGCCGGGCATGTGGCACATGCCTGTAATCCCAGCTACTCAGGAGGCTGCAGCAGGAGGATTGCTTGAACCCAGGAGTTCGAGGTTGCTGTGAGCTAGGCTGACGCCACAGCACTCTAGCCTGGGCAACAGAGTGAGACTCTGCCTCAAAAAAAAATAATAATAAAATAAAATAAAATGGATAGGAAAGAAAGCCTTGCCTTACAATAGAATGTCTGCTAATCAAGGTAGAGGAATGAAATTAGAAAATCTCTTTTGAAAACTACCATGGTGATAATTGTTTCAGGCAAGATTCATCAGTGTATGCTAAAATTAATGAGTGTAAATTTGATGAGAAATAGGATATTTACATAGTTTCAAAGTATCTTCTCCCAAAATACTTACCAGTTACAAAGACACAAATGTTAATTTTGCAGTAAAGAAACCTACTGTAAAACGTACAGATAAAATCTTAAGCAGTCAAAATTAACATCACAAGTAATGGGACATATAGGTATCATATGCCTCCTTGATATGGTAGACTGAAAAGGATACAACATCATGCCTCTGATATTCCTGCCAAAAATGTAACCTACCATCTGATAGTGAGGAAATAGGCAAACCCAAGTTGACCCATATTCTATAAAATAAATGTTCTGTACTCTTCAAAAATACCAAGAAAGACAAAGACTGAGGAACTGTCAAAATTAACGGAGACTTTACAACTCAGTGCAATGTGTGATCCTGAATTGGATCCTGGACCAGGAAAATTTTTTTCCAAGTAAGGAATGTTAGATGACCAACTGGAATTATATTGTGATTATATAAGAGATGTCATTGTTTTTAGGAAATACAAGGTAAAGGAGTATTATGTCTGCAATTTACTCAAACTATGATGCTATGGCACTCTAGCCCAGGCAATAGAGTGAGACTCTTTCTCAAAAAAAAAAAAAGAAATGACAAGTTTGCTTAAAGTGAACAAGGATCCAAACATATCATATCCAGAATTTGTACCTTTAGAAAATGGACCTTTGATATAATTGAAAATACTTGGTTCATTTGGTTTTTTGTCTTTATTTCTTCCATTTTAGGGTAAACACTGTATCCTTGATGTGTCCGGAAATGCCATAAAGAGATTACAGATTGCACAACTTTACCCAATCTCCATTTTTATTAAACCCAAATCTATGGAAAATATCATGTAAGTATAAAGGCCTAAGCATAGCCTCTGAGTACAAATTCAGTCACTGTTGAATAATTTATTTACCCTCCCTGCATCTTAGTTTCTTTATCTATAAAAGGGAGAGATAATAATATAATAGTATGTATACTCACCTCAAACTGTGTTGTGAGGATTAAACAAGCACTGTGAGATTAACTATCATCATCATCATCATCATTAGTATTACTAAAGATAATGTATTAGAACTTAAAGTTTAAATAGCTACATTTGGCTAATGGCTACTGAATTTGGCAGGACAGCTCTCAGGTAACCATTAAGAGAATAAAAAATGTATAATTATTAGCTAATAGAGGGCAAAAAATAGAATCTAAATAAAAATTAACAGAAAAAGCAAATAGAAACATTGAACAGGTGGAGCAAAAAGATATATAGATAGTAAAATGGTATAAATAAAGCAAAATATTTCAATAAATACACTAATGTCTATTACTAGACTAAATGTTTCAATTAAAAGACAGATTGTCAGAATGGAGGAAGAGAAAAGTAAACAATCATTTATTGCTTTTATAAGATATACCTTAAATATTAGACTGAAAAGGTTGAAAGTAAAAGAATAGAAAAGAAAATACCACATAAATATTAGCTAAAAGTCAGCTGATTTTATATTATTGTCAAAGTATACTTTAAGGTAAGAATGAGTAGAGATAAAAAAGAGACATTTTATAAAAGTAAAAGATTCACTCCATCAGGAAGATATATTTATGCATTTGTTTGTACTTAATAGCACAGTCTCAAAATATATAAAGCACAAATTGACAACTGTACAGAACAATAAGATAATTCCAGAATCATCATAGGGGATCTTATCACATCTATCAGTACATAATTAAATAAGAAAACAAACATAAAAAATCATAAGGCTATGGAAGAAAACAAATTAAAAACTTTATCTACCTGACATATGTTAAACACTGCTTTCAACATTTGCAAAACACACATAGATTTTAAGTACACATGAAACAATTACCAAAACTGATCATATGCTGGACTACAGACTTAAAATGGTTGAAAACAAATATTTTCTAACTGTAATGAAATTACCTGGAAACCAATAAGAAGATAACTAGAAAAATCCTCATATTTGGAAATTAAGCATTATACTTCTGAATGAGTCAAAGAAGAAATCATAGAATAAATTAATGTTTTAGACTAAATAATAATGAAATTACCAAGTAAATCAATTTGAGAATGCCATAGCTTTATCAAAGGAATATACACAGCCTTAAATGTTAGAAAAGAATGTTTAAAATCAAATACTAGAAAACAAAGGTTGAAAATCTAAGATTTTGAAAAATTAGAAAAATATCAGTCAGTTAAGCTCAAAGAAGATAGAAGAGGCCAGGGGCAGTGGCTCACACCTATAATTCTAACACTCAAGGAGCCAAGGCAGGAGGATCACTTGAGCTCAGTAGTTCGAGACCAGCGTGAGCAAGAACAAGACCCGAGATCCCATCTCTATTAAAAATAGAAAAAAAATTAGCCGGGTAGCTCAACATAGAAACAAAAAATTAGCTGGGCATGATGGCGCATGGCTGTACTCATGAGTCATGGCTACTCAGGCGGCTGAGGCAGGAAGATTACTTGAGCCCAGGAGTTTGAGGTTGCTGTGAGCTAGGTTGATGCCATGGCTACTCTAGCCTGGGTAACAGAACAAGACTCTGTCTCAAAAAGAAAAAGAAAAAAGAAGATAGAAAATCAGAAATTAATGAAATAGAAAACAGAAAAGAGAAGATCAACAAAGCCAAAAGTATTTCTGTGAAAATATAATAAACCATTCAAATGATCAAGAAAAGAAAGAAGGCATATCAGTATCAAGAATGAAAAAGACTTGTGCATTATAGGATGTTAAAAAATACATATGTAAAAAAAATGTTTTAGAAAAAAGAATGAAAAAGATATCACTACACATACAGTAGACATTAAGAATGTTGACAGAATGTAACCCAGTGGAAAAATGGGCAAGGGGTTTGGACATGTCATAAAAGAGGATCTCCAGATAGTAAATATATGAGATGGTGCTGCGTTAATCATGGAAATGCAAGTTAAAGCCACAGTGTCATATACTACCATCCACACACCAGAATAGTTGAAATGAAAGAGAAAATATCAAATGTTGGTAAGGATGTGAAACAACTGAAGCGCATAACAATGTTAGGAGTATAAATTGGTATATACGTATTGGTAAACTGTTTACAGTATACCTTAAAACTGAACATACATATAACTTAAGACCCAGAAGTCTTATTCTTAGATGCATACTCAACAGAAATTTTTACATATGCTTACCAAAGATTAGGTTGCTGACAGAAGTGCTATTCAGAATAGCCAAAAACTAGAAACTACCCAAATGCCCAACAGCAGTAGAATACATAAATACATTATGACATATTCACAATGAAACATTCTACAGAAATGAGGATGAGCAGTCTCCATTTACTTGCAAAAGTGTGGAAGAATCTTATAAACAAAATTTGAGTACAAAAACCCCAGACCTAAAAATAAACATATTCTATGATTCCAGATTTAATCATTGCTTATGGAAGTCAAATAGAGGTTACCCTTTAAGGGTGGTGTAGTGACAATAGAGTGAGCACACACAGATTCTAGGGTACGAGTAGTGTTCTATATTAGTGTTCTATTAAATCAAAGATTTAAGTACTAAGTACACAGGTATGTGTACATTTGAAAATTCGTCAAGCTGTACATTTGTGATATTCTGTTTGAAAGTTACACTTTGAAAAAAGTTAAAAAATAGAAAAGAAAAAAATACAAAACCTAAATAGTCGTGTGCTTATTAAAGAATTTGAAACTGTCATTAAAAGCCTTTCCACAAATAAAATACTAAGCCAAGAGGACTTACTGAATTCTACCAAAAGCTAAGTAGTAATTCCAATCTTACACAAACTCTTCAACGAATTTATGAGCACTAATTTGATACCAAAAACTGGCAAGGACTTTATAGGAAAGGAAAATGATAAGCCAATCTTAATCATAAATAGAGAAGCAGGGAAGGGAAGCTGGGAGGGGTGGATAAAGTAGGGATGGTTAATGGTTACAAAAATATAGTTAGAAAGATAGCATGCTTGTACCTGTAATCCTAGCACTGTGGGAGACCTATGCAGGCGGATCATTTGAGCTTAGGAGTTCGAGACCAGCCTGAGCGAGAGCGAGACCCCGTCTCTACTAAAAAATAGAAAGAAATTAGCTGGACAACTAAAAATACTATTTATAAAAATTAGCTGGGCATGGGGGCTCATGCCTGTAGTCCCAGCTACTTGGGAGGCTGAGGCAGGAGGATTGCTTGAGCCCAGGAGTTTGAGGTTGCTGTGAGCTAGGTTGACGCCATGGCACTCTAGCCCAGGCAACAAAGTGAGACTCTGTCTCAAAAAAGAAAGAAAGATAGCATGAACAATATTTGATAACACAACAAAGTGACTATAACCAACAATAAATTAGGGTACACTGTAAAATAACTAAAAGAGTAGAATTGGAATGTTCCTAACACAAAGAAATGTTAAATGCCCAGGGTGATAGATATCCCAATTACCCTAATTTGATTAATTCACACTGTATGCCTATATCAAAACATCGCATGTACCCTATGAAGATATACAATTATTATGTACCCATAATAATTAAAAATAAAAAAAATTTTGGAGACTGTGCCATCCGCAGCCTGCACGCAGGAGCCATGCTGAGGAGCTGCGCCGCGCCTCTGCGCGCGCTAGGGGCCCTGCGTGGCCCGTGGGGAGGCACCTGCCCGCCGCTCTGCGAGCTGAGACCCGCGCTGAGGTCATTTTCTTCTGAGAAAGTCATTTATAAGGACTTTTCTATCCCCAATCCCAGCTGGAGTAAGGATCTAAGACTCCTCTTTGACCAGTTTATGAAGAAATTAGAAGACGGCTCCTGGAAATGTTTGCCTTTATATAAACATGGATCCCTTCAAAGGGTACAAGACTTCAAAACGTCTTTTCATGACCCAAAATTTACAAAAGAAGATCTAATGACACAGACCAGTCTCTTCACCACCAGCTTTGAGGAGGGCCTGGGCTTTGAACATGCGATGTTCTATAATGATGTTGAGAAAAGGACAGTTTGCTTGTTTCAAGGAGGTCTTTACCTGGAAGGAATGCCTGGATTCCTTCATGGAGGTGCCATTGCAACCATGATTGATAGTACTCTTGGTATGTCTGTGCTAATAGCTGGGGGAATTGTCATGACTACAAATCTCAACATCAATTTTAAAAGACCTATCCCTGTTTGTTCTGTTGTTGTGATAAATAGCCAAGTTGATGAAGTTGAAGGAAGAAAAGTTTTTGTTTCCGGTAATGTTCAAAGTGCTGATGAGAAGACCCTACACTCAGAGGCAACAGGCTTATTTATGCAGCTGGATCCTGATAAAAGTCTGACATAAAAGAGCTGCTGGTGAATTCCACACCATTCTGCATAAGGCTGTCCCCCTCCAGAAGAAGCGGTTATCTCCATTCCTACTCTGCTCACCCACTGCTTAAGCCCCCGTATGGAGAAGCCTGCAGACCTTCCTAAGCAGTCTTCTGAATACAGTTTTAGGAACTAAGTTTCCACCTTCTAAACTTTTTAGCACAGCAACAGTGAGAGTATCAGCAATTCTTTGTGTCTCCTTAGGACATGTGTCTGGTTCTCCTCAGATTTGAATGGGCTCCTTAAAGTTGCACAAGCATGATGTCTGTCCCACTGCAGACTGGAGGGAAAAAAAATTTTAATAATTGTGTTTAATTTTTTTTAATTTCAGCATATTACAGGGGTACAAATGTTTAGGTTACATATATTGCCCTTGCCCCACCCGAGTCAGAGCTTCAAGTGTGTCCATCCCCCAGACAGTGTGCACCACACCCATTAAGTGTGAAAATACCTATCCACACCTCTCCCCTCCCTGGAGAAAAAATTTGTGGTGAAACTTTTACTGCAAACTTGGAAATGCTCGAAAACCAAATGAAGGAATAAATACATAGGTATGTGTGCATATGTGTGTGTGTGCATATGCATACACATTTTAAGTACAAAAAAAAATTTTTAAGTAAACATAGATGCAAAACTCCTTACCAAAATATAAGCAAAATGAATCCATCAATTAATTTTTTTAAATAAGCTAAAATATAACAACCAAGTTGGGTTTATGCCTTTAATACAAGACTGCTTTAACATTTAAAAACTAATTAGTGGCCAGATGCGGTGGCTCACGCCTGTAATTCTAGCACTCTGGGAGGCTGAGGCGGGCGGATTGCTCAACGTCAGGAGTTCGAAATCAGCCTGAGTAAGGGTGAGACCCCGTCTCTACTATAAATAGAAAGAAATTAATTGGCCAACTAATATACGTAGAAAAAAATCAGCCGAGCATGGTGGCACATGCCTGTAATCCCAGCTACTCGGGAGGCTGAGGCAGCAGGATCGCTTGAGCCCAGGAGTTTGAGGTTGCTATGAGCTAGGCTGATGCCTTGGCACTCATTCTAGCCTGGGCAACAAAGTGAGACTCTGTCTCAAAAAAAAAAAAAAAACTAATTAGTGTTGAAGCTAGAGGGAAGGTGACAGAGTGGGAAGCACCACGGATCCATCTCCCTACCTAGACAATTGCACTGGCAGAATCTGTCTAATGCAACCATTTTGGAACTCTGAAGTCTATTGAAGGTTTACACTTCCAGGAGAAGGTTCAATAGGTCAATCTCAACTCCTAGCACGGTACCAGCTACTCATTGCGCCATTCTCAGTCCCATAGCAGGCAGGCTTGCATTCATTCCTTAAGCAGCTTGCATACAGTTTGTGAGAATCAGAGTGGGCAATAAGGACCCTGTTCTCCAAATATTAGAGATCTGTATTGTAATAGCTAACTGCTGCTTCTGATCATGGAGGTACAGACATACAGCGAACTATTGTTGCAAACCCAATTGCCATTACTGCAAACCCCTCTCCCTGAAGCTAAAGTAACTTTTAAAGATTTAAAGGACCAAAGCCTTCCCCACTCCTCACTTTTTTCCTCTTTTGGGAGCCAGACCAGGACACTAAAAAATAACCACATATACAGGAGGGATTTAGAAAGTCACCCACTGTACATGCCTATGGAAAGGTACAGGCTGAAAAAATACTTGGAAAGACCCTAAGTTTATACCTCAGGCTGATCCCTTGCACAGAAATACCCTATAATAATAATAAAGTTAAGTTTTAAATTAAAAAACAGACTGTGGAGAAGAGGAAGAATTTGATCTCCAGAGTTACCATAAGATTCAAATGTCCAGTTTTCAACAAAAAAATCACAAGGCATACAAAGAAACAGGAAAGTATGGCCTATTCAGAAGAAGAAAAATTAAAAGAAACTGCTCTGAGGAAGACCAGATGCTATACTTACTAGATAAGGACTGTAAGACTGTCTTAAAGATGCTCAAAGAACTAAAAGACATAAACAAAGTCAAGGAAATATGTAAACAAAATGGAAATATCTATAAAGAGATATGAAAGCTAAAAAAAAACAAAAACAAAAAAATTCTGAAGCTGGAAAGTACAATAACTGAAATGAAAAATTCACTAGAGGGATTCAAAGGCAGATTGGAGCAGGCAGAAGAAAGAATCAGCAGACTTAAAGATGAGACAATGGATTATTGAGTGAGAAATGGGGGGAAAAGCGACTAAAGAAAAATGAACAGAGCCTAAGGGACCTGCGAGATATCATCAAGCTACCAACATACACATTGTGGGAGTCCCAGAAGAATAGAGAGAGAAAGGGGCAGAGAGATTATTTAAAGAAATAATGGCCAAAAACTTCCCAAATTTGATGAAAGGCATGCATATAAACATCCAAGCAGGTTAAACTCAGAGACTCACACTGAGGCACATTATAATCAAACTGTGAGAAGACAAAGAATCTTGAAAGCAGCAAGAGAGAAGCAACTCATCACATACAAGGGATTTCCCAATAACATTATCGGCAGATTTTTCATCAAAAACTTTGGAGTGCAGAAATCAGTGGGTTGATGTATTCAAACACTGGGGGAGGAGGGAGACCTTCAACCAAGAATCCTGAATTTGGCAAAACAGCCCTCAAAAATGAAGGAGAAATTAAAACATTCTCAGATAAAAGGTGAGGGACTTCATTACCACTAGACCTACCTTAATGGTAATGCTGAAGGGAATCTTGTAGGGTGAGATGAAAGAACACTAGACAATAACTCTACAAAATATCAAAGCAAACATCATACTTAATGGCAAAACATTTGGGGACTAACTTCTATATACCCATCACCCAGCTACAACAATAATTATCAATTTATGACCAATTTGTTTCATCTTCCACACACCCCCATACACATACACCTCCTTGCCACTTCATTACAGGTTATTTTGAAATAAATCTCAGATGTTGTATCATTTTATCCATTTATTTCAATATATATTTGGAAGATAATTCTTTATCAGAAAAATGATCACATGGCCGGGTGCAGTGTCTCAGGTCTGTAATCCTCCCTCTCTGGGAGGCCGAGGTGGGCAGATTGCTCAAGGTTAGGAGTTCAAAACCAGCCTGAGCAAGGGCGAGACCCCGTCTCTACTATAAATAGAAAGAAATTAATTGGCCAACTAATATATGTAGAAAAAATTAGCCAGGCATGGTGGCTCATGCCTGTAGTCCCAGCTACTCGGGAGGCTGAGGCAGCAGGATTGCTTGAGTCCAAGAGTTTGAGGTTGCTGTGAGCTAGGCTGACGCCACAGCATTCTGTGTAGCCTGGGCACCAAAGTGAGACTCTTTCTCAAATAAATGAGAAAAAGAGAGAGAGAGAGAGAAATCACAGCAATTGTCATACTTAAAATAATTAACACTAATTGTTTTATATTATCAAATAATTTCAGTTGTCCTAATTGTTGCATAAGTTTTATGTTTTTTGAATTTGTTTGTTGTAATCACTTCCAAATAAGACCTGTCATTCTCTAGTTTCTTCCTCCATATCTCCCCGCTCCCACCTATTTATTTGTTGGAAAAAAAAAACAGGTAATTTCTTCTGCAAAATTTTCCCCGAACTGTATTTTCTGATTCCTTTCTCATGATGTTGTTCAATATGTTCATTGTACCCGTTATTTTCTATAAGTTGGTAGGTAGATCTATAAGTCTTTTTTTTGTTGGTTTTTTTTTTTTTTTGAGACAGAGTCTCACTATGTTGCCAAGGCTAGCATGCCATGGCATCAGCCTAGCTCACAGCAACCTCAAACTCCGGGGCTCGAACAGTCCTACTGCCTCAGCCTCCCAAGTAGCTGGGACTACAGGCATGTGCCACTATGTCCAGCCAATTTCTTTCCATTTTTAGTAGAGACAGGGTCTTGCTCTTGCTCAGGCTGGTCTCAAACTCCTGACCTCAAACAATCCACCTGCCTCGGCCTCCCAGAATGCTAGGATTACAGGTGTGAGCCACCGAGCCTGGCCTATAGTCATACTTTAATATAAAATTTTCATCAAAGTCAAAAATGTCACAGATTAATGCTTAGGGTTTTTTTGGCTGCTTTGAGCCAATAGAGAATGTGTTGAAACCCTTCTGTCATTCCAAGTATAAGGCAACATATTCAGTGACTGAATCTACTTTTTAATGGCATTCATATTTTCAACAGAGCTCAACTTTTCATGATTGTATGTTTTATGTCTTTTTTCAACAAGCATTGTAATGTAGTAATTACTGATTTCTAAATTTATTTGCATAGGGAAATGAATAAGCGTCTAACAGAAGAACAAGCCAGGAAAACATTTGAGAGGGCCATGAAACTGGAACAAGAGTTTACTGAACATTTCACAGGTTGGTACCATGTGTTACAAGTGCCCTTTATGATCGAATTTTGCTTTGAATCCATGTGAACTGACCCATTCAAAAGAATTCTGAACTATGCCTACATCTACCAATAGTAACTAGAACTGTCATTTCCAGAATAAACTCTTACGGTCTGGTTTTATCCTATGGAAAATTCATCTAGCATAGACAGTAGTGATGAGGAATCTTGAAATTTAGTGTTTCTTAGGTTATTGGTTAGAACAACATGTACAGGAATAATTCCTACTTGACCAGAGGAAAAATAGATTTAGATTTGGTTTCTTCTATGAAATTCTGTTTTTCTCTCATCATTTATAAATTTTGACCCATTTTTTCCAGCTGTGTTGAGGTATAATTGACAAAATCTGTGTATATTCAAGATGTATAGTGAAATTTAATATACATATACATTGTGAATTGATTACCAGAATCAAATTAACAGATTTATCACTACACATACTTACCATTTTGTATGTATGTGGTGAGGACACTTAAGATCTACTCTTTACTAACTATTGTCACCATGCTATATGTTAGATCCCCAGAACTTATTCATCTTATACCTGAACGCTAATACCTTTTGACCAACATCTCCCCATTTCTCCTACCCCACAGTCCCTGGCAACCACCATTCTACTCTGTGCTTCTAGAAGTTCAACATTTTTAGATTTCAAGTATAAGTGGAATCATAAAGTATTTGCTTTTCTGTATGTGGCTTATTTCACTTAGCATAATATCCCCCACATTCACCCATGTTGTCACAGATGACAAGATTTCTTTCTTTGTTATGGCTGGATAATATTCCATTGTGTATATATACCATATTTTCTTTATCCATTCATCTGTTGCCAGACCCTTAGGTTGCGTTCTATTGTGAATTATGCTGCAATGAACATGATAGTGCTGATATCTCATCAGCATACCAATTTCATTTCCTTTGGATATATACCCAGTAGTGGGATTGCATGATCATATAGTAGTTCTATCTTTAATTTTTTGAGAAATATCCATACTGTTTTCCATAATGGCTGTGCTAATTTATATCCCACCAACAGTGTACAAGGGTTCCCTTTTCTCCATACCATTGTGAATACTTCCTTATCCCTTGTCTTTTTGATAATAGCCATCCAAACAGGTGTGAGGTGATATCTCATTGTGGTTTTGATTTGTATTTCCCTGATGGTTACTGAGATTGGACACTGTTTCATATATCTCCTGGCCATTTGTTTGTCTACTTTGAAAAAATATCTGTTCAGGTCCTTTGCCTGTTTTTAAATGGATGGTTCAGTTTTTTTCCTGTGAAATTTTATGAGCTCCTTCTATACTTTGCATATTAGTTATTTATGTTTTACAAATATTTTTCCCCTTCTAAATAGGTTGCTTTTTCATTTTGTTGATTGTTTTCCTTTGTTGTACAGAAGATTTTTTCATTTGATATAGTATTCCCACTTGATTATTTTTTTATTTTGTTGCCTGCGCTTTTGATGTCATATCCAAAGAATCATGGCCAAGACCAATGTCAGGGAGCTTTTTCCCCCACTTTTCTTTTAGGAATTTCATGGTTTCAGGTTTTACATTTAAGTCTTTAATCTGTTTCAAGTTAATTTTTGTATATGATGAATAATAAGGGTCCAATTTCATTCTTTTGCATGTGGATATTTAAGACACTGACCTTTCCCCCATCTTACATTATTATTGGCCCTTTGTCAAAATTAGTTGTCCTTTGATTTCTTTTAAAATATTACTTAAGAAGAGAAGAATGGGGAACAATTTCTAATAATCTTATTCAGTTTGTCCTTTATAATGATCAGCCTGTGTTTGGTGTTCACACTGAGTACCAATAAGTGTCATCGTATTCTAAGCCATGTGCTTTTTTTCTTCTTCTTCTTCTTTTTAATTTCAGACTTACAGAGAAGTCACAAGAATAGTACAGGGAAGTTTTATATGCTGTTCATCCATATTCATCAAATGTTAACATTTTACCACATTATTAATTTTTTTATGAAGCATTTGAGAGTAAGTTGCAGGCAGATGCCCTTTGCTTCTAAATACTTCAGTGTTTATTTCCGCAAACACAAGGACATTCTGTTATATAATCGTAATATATTGTCAAAATCAGGAAATTTAAGATTAATAATATCTCATCTAACTATAGATCTTATTATTATTCCATTATTATTATTATTTCACCAATACCTTTAGAGCAAAATGGGAAAAAAAAAATGTTTTTCCTATTCCAAGACCCAATCCAGGGGCACATGTTGTATTAACTTATCATATTCTTCAGTCATCTAGAACAATTCCTCAGTCTTTACTTGTTATTCATGACCTTGACAATTTTTAAGAGTGAAGGCCAGGCCAGTTCTATTGTAGAATATCCATCCCTTGATTTGGATTTGTCTGAGATTTTCTAGTGATTAGATTTAGGTTATGCATTTTGAGCAGAGAGATTAATGAGGTAATAATGTATCCTCTGTGCTTACAGGACATTTATGATGTCTATTTGTATCGTTACTTCTGATGTTAGTTTTAATCATGTAATTAAGGCATCTGTAGTCTTATGCTTTCCAAATTCCTTATTCCATAATGAATTTACAAAGTAAGCAAAATATATATGTTTTACAAGCTAACTCCCAAGTAACGCTTTCTTCCTAAAATAAGTCATTATATGCTGTTGTCAACCTACGCTATGAAACACTATCAGATTCTGCCATATGCTGTTGGAGTGCATCAGAATGCCAAACTGATGAACCAAATGTTTTGTCAAATGAACTGTGTCTTCAAGGACATTAAGCCACGTCTGTATTTAGCTCTAAATGTCAACTTTCACAAAACTAATACTAGTGAAAATTATGTTATTTAAAATTTTTGGTTACTCAAGCATTCTTAGCTGCATAAGTTGTAAGCCGACTCTACAGACATATACCCCTCCTCCTATGCATGTGTAATCGCAATCATCAAATACACAATTTTATTTAAAATCTCCATATGACATTTTATGCTGGGTTTTTGAGATCATGGAAATCTATCTGTGATGCTCTTCCAAAATCACCAAGGATCTTTTTGTAGTTTAATAGATGACTTATTGACTTATAATTCTGAACTATTTCACTTACATATAAACATTTACTGTTTTCTTTAAAAGTTACTCAAGCTTAGTGCCATCTGGCAAGACTTTTTGTTTTGTTAACTGATCTTTATTCCTCACAGGTCTCAGGAACTCCAGCTATTCCCAAAGAATAGTTGCTAGTAATTGTTACTATATTTTTTATTCACACATTATTTCAGGCAGCAAATAAACTTACCTGATATTGATTTAATAGTTAGTGGTTAGTCTGACCACTGACAAGCCAGATTATGTATGTCAGTTCACCTATACTACAGTACCTGACATACTGAAGAAAGTAATATCAATCTGTAATTAACTCTTTTCCTCCAAGATCCTAGCCCCACCCAAGAAAATAATGCAGAAACATAGCCATGCTTGCTTGCTTTCTGTGATACTGTACCCATCCTCCTTTTTTTCTGTATAAATTTATGGAGAAATCAGAAAAGTTAAGGAAATACATAATTTGTTTTAAAAGAATAAAGCTAATACATGCTTAGATGATAAAACAATAAGCAAAAGAAAAAATCACCAACTACCTTTTTTCTTTTTCCTTCAGTCAGTGTCTCTGTTGCCCAGGGTAGAGACAGTGGCATCATCACAGCTCACTGCAACCTTAAACTCCTGGGCCCAAGCAGTCTTCTTGTTCAGCCTCCTGAGTAGTTGGGACTACAGATACATGCCACCATGCCTGGCTAATTTTTTTAGTTTTTGTAGACATGGGGGTCTCCCTATTGCCCATTTTTTTTTTTTTTTTTTTTTTTTTTTTTTTTTTTTTTTTTTTTTTTTTTTTTTTTTTTTTTTTTGCCAAGCTACCTTCTTTTATTGGATTTTGAGTAAAAACAGGAACCATGTCAAATGGCTGGTCTCAAACTCCTGGGCTCAAGCAATCCTCCCATCTTTGCCTCCCGGAGTGCTGGGATTATAGGCATGACCCACCATGCCTGGCCACCAAATACCATTTTTTGACCAATTTTTAAAAGTAAAAATTTTGTATTATACAAATAGGAAAATTAATGAAATGAGCAGTTTTTCATAAGCAAACAATACATAAATGATGATTCTTACTGGATGAATAACTGTAAGATTTTGCTTTGACAATTTCACCATCATAATTGTAATGGCAAAGATAGACAATTAATGGAGATTTCTGATTTTGTTCCTATTATTACAGCTATTGTACAGGGAGATACGCTGGAAGACATTTACAACCAAGTGAAGCAGATCATAGAAGAACAGTCTGGTCCTTACATCTGGGTTCCAGCAAAAGAAAAGTTATGAAAATTGATGTTTCTCTATTGCTCTTTTCCACAATCTCATTTTGACACTTCTTTGCCCTTTCCTCTGGAGTCTGTCTTCAAAACTCCTTTCATGTCGAATCATGTCACATGCATCATGGTCTGCAGTTGCACTTATTTTTGACATCTGGTGTCTCCTTCCAGTTTTATCATCTGTATTATTTTATGTCACTATTGGCTTGTGGCCATTTTTCAGAACTAAAGATGGAATGGCCTGACCAGCTATTAAGGGTTCAGGGAGATGCAGAAATTGTGGTAAAATTCCTTAATGTTTAAGGGAAAGTAACTTTAAGAGATTTTCAGAAAAGCTTTATATGCATCCTTTTCAAATTTCAATACAAATGAAAAAGTGGATTTAATCAGTGATTTAGTAGACTCTGAGCAACTATGCACGTTTAACTTTAATAGCATGGTTTGGCCAACATATTAGCTCTCAAATCCTTTTCTCAATTGGCTTCTGTTATCAAAGCAATTATTTCATTATAGACAAATAAGAAACATATGTTTTTTTTTATTTCAAAATTAATGTCTGAGTTAACTTTCATAATTTCACAAGGGATAATTCATTTTTCATAAGAGTTATTAAAGTCTTATTGTTTGTTTGAGGGAGTTTTTTCCCAATACATTTGCTAGGAATAACAATGTTCAAATGTTTTTAATCTACTTGCATGACACTATTTAGAGTGTCTTACAAAAGTTGTTCATACATAATGATCATCACATTTTCTGAATTGAGGCCATGTTTAGGTGCTAAGGGAGCTTACCTTTTACTCAGAGGGTTGAGAAAATTTCATAGACAAAACAGACATACAGTGGTGATGTAGTAATCATTTTGGCAATGGAAAAGGAGTCCAATTCATAGCCTAAAACTTTAGGTATATTCTTAGGGGTCAGATTTTAATGAATATTTTACCCACAATAACTGCCTATTTTGTTATAATAAAATATATATATAAATATATATAAAACTTTCTTTAACTAAACTCTGTAACTATGGGAATTATTTTCTTTACATAGTTGCACACACACAAACATATATATATATATTTAAAATATATTTTTTTTCTTTTGCCACCTACTCCTAACTTTTTGTTTGGTTTTTAAATTAAATATTAATTGAATAGACGTATCCTCCTTAATCATGTGAACTGAAAATGGGGGTATGGTGTTTGTGAGGAGAAACATTTAGGGAAATTACATTATAAGTAAAAGTCTAAGCATATTCTCCTCTTTTCTACAGAAGTTTTCAAATGGTTCCTGGGGTTTTTTGTCATTGCTGTTCTTGTCATCAAGTTTGAGTTTGGTTCTCTGCCTTTCCTTCTAGTTCTCCTTTTATTAATAGGAAAACAAACAAAAGCCCCATTTATGTATGTGTTTTTCCCTCAGACAACTTCCATCTGCTGCTCTGCACTAGGGTTGCACAGATCTTCATGTTCAGCAATTTTATGAAATTTTAGTGAAAGGTAGAAACTACTTCAGAAATCAATTTCTCTGGTTCTTAATATTAATAATATCATTTGGCTTCCCATTGGTCTTTGGAGTTGTTTATTAAATATTTGTTTTTGACAACCTCCTCGTTATAGTTTCTTTAAAAAAATGAGTACTGGTTTGTAAAGAATTATCAACATTATTCATTCCATTTATGAAGAAGAGGAGAACAGCTAATAAACTTTATTGTAAAATTCATATGTTAAATGTGTCTTAAATTTTGAAAGAATATCTTACAAGGTCACATTTTCTTGGAACAATTTCACATTTTCAGGTATCACGTAATTTATAAACTGCATTCAAAAGCCATTAGGCAACCTAATCAAGATTTCATCTGTGGGTTTGGGAATTTTTAACACATTGAAATACATATATACTATAGCTGTTACACAGATGTAGTAGGTTGTTACCAAACATGAACATAATAGAAGAAAACTATTGTAAAACCTCAAGAGCTTCAGAAATCACCTTACAGCAACGCCCCAGCATTAACCACTTTAAAGTCTTTACTAAATAGTCACATGTTGCAGAATGTAAAGAGGTTATAAAATAATGCTATTTGTGTGTTAAAATCTATATTAACATTGCTTTTCTGGTTGTCCTTGTTAAGTGATTTTTTTTTTTTGGTAAGAAAATACTTTTGTGCAGCTTTCTAGATTGTATGGAATTAATAGTGAAATTGCTAATTGATGGATACTGTGCAATAGCTGCTTTAGTATTACCACTTAGTTTTTTATAAAAAAACAAAGTGGTGTTACTATCCCCACTTGTAAGGCTTAAGTGAAATCATTTGCCCAAGACAACTTAGCTAATAAATGGCAGTGCTTGGCATTCAGTTCCAAGTCTCTCTGCCCCAAGTCTACATTCTGTCCAATATACTATGCTGCATCGTTTTTCAGTCCCTACTCTGTAAAGCACTGTGAATTAAATTGCCATTCTAGCACCTTTTACAAAGAAAGAAAGAAACTTATTACCCTAAAATCAAAGTCTGGAAAAAAAAAATAAATAAAAAATAAAAAAAAAGAAAGAAAGAAACTTAGATGAAAATCTTTGCCCAGAGTCATACAATTAGTAAGGACAGACCCATAGAATAAATCACTCCCATCACAACTGAAAAGACTATTTCCAGGAAACTATTCAGCCTAGCCCTGTCACAGTGACACACAAAAAAGGAACCTCTTTAGAACCAAAATTGAAACAGTATTCATTAGAAAAAAGTATACTGTATTCTAATGCACAGGGAATAACACACATTTTCAAATGATTTATGAAATAATTCCTTATTTTTGATATATCCCTTAATATCCCTAAGTTGGCAAAAAGAAAAATGCCTCTTAAATTTGGCTACACATTCCTGGTGGGTTTTGTTCCATAACTGCCTAGAACTCCTCAATCCATGATGGAAGCAAGCTTGCAGAGCTCATCCCAGCAAAATACTCTGGTTAACAAATACTGCTAAACAACATAGTATTTAAACTCCAAAGATGGCAATTCAGGGACTTTAATAATGAGGAAAAATTGTTTTCTAAAATATTAGAACAGTTATACCTTCCAAGATTTCTGCCTTGGAAGAGAAGGCAGATTCTCTGCCTTGAACACTCCTAATTTACATGTGGTGAAATAGAAGCCCAGAGATTCCCATGTTTTAACCAGTTACACTGAAAATCAGGAGAAGAACCAGGATTACAACCTTTAACTCCTGCCTCCTACAAAATGGTTTTCCTACCAATACCAATTCCTTTCCTTCCCAAGCTATGAGCTGAATTTAGTGGGCTATTCAGTCCCTGGAGGTTTGATATCAGTAAGTTATGATATTTCATTAAGGAATTTGCATTTTGAAAAGATGGGGAAAAATATGGGTGTCACTTCTCTGACCCATATTTAGATCATCTGATGTTTTAGTCCAATGTTTAAGATGCCATTTATCTTCCTCTAGAGATGCACAGTATAGCTGTCACTAACTTTGGCAGCAGTGTACTCTTAATGTGAAGAATGTGGACTGTGGAACCAAAGCTGGATTTGAGTGCCACTGCCACTTACTGGTTATGTAAATAACCTTGGACAAGTCTTGTCATCCCTTTTTACTGTTTAATTATCTGTAAAATGGAGATAGTCTAAGGATCAATAAGATTACAAATAAAGGGGACTAGCACATGCACACTCTAAAAACTAATTCCCTTTTCCTTTGGACTCAGAAGCCTGGAATTGTTCATCTCTCCTTGTGCAAATTAACCTGACTATTTTGCCATATTTAAAATGGGATTTTACTAGTCTACCTGCTGCTCCAAAAAAAAAAAATAAAATAAAATAAAATAAAATGGGATTTGAAGGCCGGGCGCGGTGGCTCACGCCTGTAATCCTAGCACTTTGGGAGGCCGAGGCGGGCGGATTGCTCAAGGTCAGGAGTTCAAAACCAGCCTGAGCGAGACCCCGTCTCTACCAAAAATAGAAAGAAATTAATTGACCAACTAAAAATATATATACAAAAAATTAGCCGGGCGTGGTGGCACATGCCTGTAGTCCCAGCTACTCAGGAGGCTGATGCAGTAGGATCGCTGAGCCCAGGAGATTGAGGTTGCTGTGAGCCAGGCTGACGCCACGGCACTCACTCTAGCCTGGGCAACAAAGTGAGACTCTGTCTCAAAAAAAAATAAAATAAAATGGGATTTGAATAACTGCTTTGCAGGATTATTGTAAGGGTTAAATTAGTATATAAGAAGTCCCAATTACATCATCTGATATCTCACAGTCAGTACATATTCTTCCCCTTACTTTGGGGTGTGTTTATGTTTGGTAGCAGACTAAGAGAAGAATATTGTCTACCATTCTTCACCACCTATAGAGAAATTTCCTTTGACTTCAGTAAAGAAAGTATTTACATTTCAGTCTCTCTAATCATGTTTTCTCATCTCTTCTAAGGATCCCTGTTTTTTGTCAGATGCTATGCATTGTGGTCCACCCCAACTCAACCTCAGACATAGAACTGGAAAACATCAAGGTTTTATAAACCATGCTCATCTCTGTTCAGTCCTAGACCCAGCAGTCCTTAGCAATTCTCCAGAATATTGTTGAGAGTCTAGAAACAGGGATAAGACAGTAGTGTGAAAAATCATACAGGCACAGTGGCTCATGCCCATAATCTTAGCACTCTGGGAGGCCAAGGCAGGAGTATCGCTTGAGCTCAGTTGAAGACCAGCCTGAGTTAGAGTGAGACCCTGTCTCTACTAAAAACAGAAAAATTAGCCGGGTGTCATGGAACATGCCCATAGTCCCAGCTACTTGGGAGGCTGAGGCAGGAGGATCCCTTGAGCCCAGGAGTTTGAGACCCCAGTGAGCTACTATGACATCACTGCAGTCTACCCAGGGTGACAGAGTAAGACTCTGTCTCAAAAAAAAAAAAAACTGAACTCCCTTTCTCACTCCCCTCCCCTTCATATTGTAAGAAATAAAGGCCGGGCGCGGTGACTCATGCCTGTAATCCTAGCACTCTGGGAGGCTGAGGCGGGCGGATTGCTTGAGGTCAGGAGTTTGAAACCAGCCTGAGCAAGAGCGAGACCCCGTCTCTACTATAAATACAAAGAAATTAATTGGCCAACTGATATATATAGAAAAAATTAGCCGGGCATGGTGGCGCATGCCTGTAGTCCCAGCTACTCGGGAGGCTGAGGCAGAAGGATCGCTTGAGCCCAGGAATTTGAGGCTGCTGTGAGCTAGGCTGACGCCATGGCACTCACTCTAGCCTGGGCAACAAAGCGAGACTCTATCTAAAAAAAAAAAAGAAAGAAAGAAATTTTTTTAAAAAAATAGAATAGTCACTACATACTCATTGACTTTCCACTACCAGCTCTTTCTCCTTTCCACCCATAAATATGGTTACCTAAAGGTTGTCAAAAGAATAAATCCTGGTCTGCAAACAGCATTGTGAACAGAATTGATGGTCAGATAAAGTGACATTATTGTTGGAGACTTTGGGAACAGATACTAAACCTAACCAGGGAGAGTTTCACAGTATGATTTTCCTAGCAGTCTATCACCTATAGTAATAATAAACAGGTAAAGGAAGATTTAGAGGAAGGATATCAGAAAATGGTGATGGCTGGAATTCTCTTCCACTTCTTCTCTTCCACTTCTCTTCCAATTCTCTTCTCTTCTTAACTTAAATGTGACATATGCAAACTATATAAATATACTTAAGTATACATATATCTCAATAAATTTTTACAAATCAACATTATCTTATGTAACCAGAATGAAGCACAAAAAATAGAGTATGACCAGCACCCCAGGGGACCCGCTCAGCTTCCTCCCTGTCACTACTCCTACCCCAAGGGAAGCCACTATTCTTTCTTTTTTTTTTTATTTCAGCATATTATGGAGGTACAAATATTAAGGTTATATATACTGCCCATGCCCCCCCCCCACCCACCCGACACCCGATAAATGTTATTCCTATATGTCCACTTAAGTGTTGATCCGTTAATACCAATTTGCTGGTGAGTACATGTGGTGCTTGTTTTTCCATTCTTGGGATACTTCACTTAGTAGAATGGGTTCCAGCTCTATCCAGGAATATACAAGAGGTGCTATATCACCGTTGTTTCTTAAAGCTGAGTAGTACTCCATGGTATACATACACCACATTTTATTAATCCATTCATGAATTGATGGGCACCTGAGTCGTTTCCACAACTTTGAGATTGTGAACTGTGCTGCTATAAACATTCGAGTGCAGGTGTCTTTTTCATAAAGTGACTTTTGATCTTTTGGGTAGATTCCCAGCAGTGGAATTGCTGGATCAAATGGTAGATCTACTTGTATCACTTTAAGGTATCTCCATATTGTTTTCCACAGAGGCTGAACCAGTTTGCAGTCCCACCAGCAGTGTAGGAGTGTTCCTATCTCTCCACATCCACGCCAACATTTATTTTTTGGGGACTTTTTGATAAAGGCCATTCTTACTGGAGATATGTGATATCTCATTGCAGTTTTGATTTGCATTTCCCTGATGATTAGAGATGTTGAGCATTTTTTCATATGTTTGTTGGCCTTTATTGTCTTCTTTTCAAAAATTTCTGCTCATGTCCTTTTCCCACTTTTTGATAGGGTTGTTTGATTTTTTTCTTGCTGATTTTCCTGAGTTCTAAATAGATTCTAGTTATCAGCCCTTTAATGTGTAGCTTGCGAAAATTTTCTTCCAT